CAAGATTTGCCTGCAGCTGATACTGAGCACTGAATTGGGAGTCAGGAGGTCCAGGTTGCAGTTCAGACTTGACAAAGGATTCATTCTGGTGGCTGGTGTTGGATAGACCAGCCTTTGGAGTAGCCTTTCTTAGAGTGTGTTCTGCAGAATATTAATCCCAGAATATGCTTTCAGAGGAAAAAAATGCACAATTAAACTTGTTTACAAACATCTAAAGCTCCATTTCCCTTTTGAAGATCACAGAACTTAACTGGCACAGTAAAAGTCTTCCCTTTTGGCCCACAGTGCTGATAAATCCCTCAGAACTAAGGACAGACTAAAGTAGCTCCTAGCTAAACAATAATCTGTGATTCTGGAATAAGGTGAGTGATCTAAACCAAAGCATCAAAACAAGGAATAAAAGGCAAAGGGAGAAATTAAAACAAAAAAATATATAATTAGATAATTAAAAGTAAGGGCGGGTCATTTGAGATTGCAATGAGATACAGGAACTTGATATGAACAGAGGGGTCAACACATGCCTATAATAAAATCTCAGTGCAGATCTCCCTGAGTCAACAGGGACCACCAGTGGACCCTTTTCTCCTCTTAGTATTGTGGTCATCTGACCCTGCTGAAGAGAAAGATAGCTGTACCTGTGTGGTCACTTAGAGCTAAAATTTAAGATTTTGAATGGGTGTTCACATTCTCCTTAGAAATTGTAACTCCAGGAAGAATAAAGCAAGATCAAAGTGTCCTTTCTAGATTCACTGTCTCCAATTGAAACTGAGTTTCTAGGATAAGTCAGAAATCAAAACTCCTCTGTGGTCAGAATGAAACTTCCCTGAGTTCTTGGCAAATATTGAAAGCCTAAAAGAACACATTTTCTTACTCAGAAAATAAGTGCACAGAGAGTAAGTGCTCCAGCCACGGGAGGAGGAGATTATTCTCAAGTAAGTAGGAGATTATAAACTATCTCAGAGTTACAAAGATCTCTATATCAATTGTTGAAAGCATTCTCATACCTCTTGATCCATTTGGTCATCATGAATGCCCTCTGTGGTGTTTTTTTCCTAGTGTTTGACAGATGACCACAGCAACGACAAGCATTACCACCACCACCTGAGAGGCATGGCCCTAGGTGTTAAATAATCATTGTCCCATACAGTCCTTACAGCAACTCTTTGAGAAAGGCTAACATTACAGTTTCCATTATACAGCCAAGAGCCCATGTGGTAGAGCAATCATAGCCTGGGTTCGGACTTTAGTCTCTTGGATTCTAAAGACTATACCATCTCTGACTTGTCAAAAACAGTAAAAGCCCGCCTGTGAATATTGCCTTAGGATTCCCTCCGTTCCTGCCCCAGCTCACCTAGTTCAGTACTTTCTCCGTGGTGCCATGTTGTTTCAGGCTGCCTCAACCCCACTTAAACCAGTAAGATTTAGCTGCTTTTAGCTATAGTCTAAATCAGAAGTGGGTCAAGAGATAGCCTGTGGGTCAAAGGGGGCCTACCTTCTGTTTTTCTGTGGCTCATGAGCTAAGACTATTTTTCACTTTTTACATGATAAAAAAAAAAAGTCAAAAGAATATTTTGTGACATGCATCATGATATGAAATTCAAATTTCAGTGGTGAAAATAGTTTTTGTTGGAACGCAGCCATGTTTATTCATTTCCGTTTTGTCCATGGCAGCTTTCATACAACTGTGACAGTTGAGTACTTGCAGTAGAGACTTATGGCCCATAAAGCCTAAAGTATTTATTACTGGCTCTTAACTGAAAAACTGCTGACCTCTGGGCAAATTCTAAGGGACATCTTTGTTTGAAGAGGAACAGATGAAAGGAGTCAGAGGCTTTCATTAAACACAGCATAGAAAAGAGGTAGGAACCCAGGCTCAAGTTTGGATTCCAGGTGTGCCATCTAGGAGCCACAGGGCTGACAGCGTCCAAGCTGCTGAACTTTTGGGCTCCTTGGTTTGTCTCATGTGAAAAACAGAGCAACAATACCAAACTTGCAGTTCTGTTGTGAAATTTTCATAAAGTATTTTGTGTAAAGCTTTAGGCAAATGGTAGGGGCCCTTCAGTAAATGGAATGTACCTGCCTGTTGATGGTGCTTTCCTGTTGCTTTGGTGTTAATATTAACATGGGCGGATGGTTGGGAATTAGAAATCTCTCGTGATAGCTGACATATATATAAAATGAAAGTGCTGCAAGGTAGATGGAATGATAGGATAAATTGTACATGGTAAGATGTAGCAGTTGTTTACCCCTGGGTGAATCTGACTAACAATGAAGCTGTGATGTGTTGACGGGTTAAGCAGTTGTACTCCCTGAAGCCTGGCTATTCTGTCCACCTCCATCTGATGTGATCATCATTAAAGTCAACACCCAAATGCAGAAGACTGCAAGGTGAATTAGAAATATGTAGTTGAATAAGCCATTTCATCTTTCCTCTGCCAGTGTTCCAGATAAACCCAATCCAATTCTTTTAAAAAACAAAAATAAAAATAATTGTTCTTGCATTCTAACTCAACATCTGAGTTCTAGTTCACTTGGCATTTTATCTGCTCTTCGATGATGAACAAACTAACCTCAAAAATATCCTCAAATAATTTTTTTACACCGAATGACTAAAGCAACATTTATCTTCTTTTCCTCTATATACCTTGCCCAGAAGATTGCAAAGTTGAACTCTGGAATAGCCCAACTCACACCCTATTAATGAGTGTGCAGAGAAAAGAATCTTCTCAAGATTAGATAAACTCTCAAGCAACTGTACTCACTCCTGGGTGGTTTTTGGGGAGGGGGGATGCCAATAACAGGCAAATATTTTCTTTCCCCTTCTTAGTTTTATGCAACTTTGTCCTCTAGTATATACACCTAAGGAAGGGGTTCACCCAGAGCTAGGCTTTGTCAAGAGTGACAAACACACGCTCTCCTACAATCTCTTTCTCAGTTGCAAAGTGCTCTTGGGCAGAGACATGTTTTAGTCATTTATATCTTAGTATGAATTATTTTTAAAAAATCATACTCCTGCTCCTCCCACACTATGCACACATACTTCCTGAAGTTTGAGGTTTGGGAATGGATTTTCTTTTTTTTTTCCTCCCTTCTTCCCTTCTTTTCTTTCCTTCTTCATGTTTTTTATGCAGAATGAAAAAAAAAATCTCTCTTCTGGTAAAGAGATGTCAGAAAGTCGATGGCCTAGTGCAGAAGGGAGTTTAGGATGGATGAGTATCACCCTAAAATTAAACCTTGTTAGGGGTTGTCTGCTCTAGCGGTTGGTTGGCACTGCTTGGCTCATCCAGAAACATTGGAAGAAGTAGAGAGGTAGAAATGGCTATGTTTGTGAGGGAGCTATATCTTATAGTGTTAAAAATAATCCAACCAACTGGTTGTATTAAATAATACAACCAACTGGTTGTATTAAAACCACTTTAGAACTCAGGAACCTGAGGTTCAGAAGGGGTTAAGCAATCATTCAAAGTTGCTTAGGAGCAAGTGACTTCTTAGAGGAGCTCAGGTGCATTGACCTTCTCCTGTGTTTGTGATGACCTAATAAACCAGACTGTGCATAGGCACGTTCTTCCCCATAGTCAGGAATAGTTGTGTTATTGGAAGCAGTGTAGCCAAAACACAAAGCTGACTAGTTATTTTCTCTGCCACTGCAGCCGCCTCTGGATAGGAACTGAGGACTTGAGATATCCAGGGGAAAAGTAGCAAGCATAACTAACCAAGCGTGTGACCATTTGTCTCTGAGTGACCATCTGAAAGGCAACACCATGTTTGAGTGTAGTTTTGGTAATTGTGAACTGAAAAGTTGGCCATACTCTGAAGTCAAATAAGAGTCGTCCTTAGCTTTATGGGACCAAGAGTGAAACAGGCTTCCAAAATAGTGGCTTCTCTTTAAAATCCTTGGAATAAATACATGGACTATATCTACAACTTCTGAGCCTAACAACTTGCTCATACTGAGGGGAAGTAGAAATTGGACAGTCAGAATAGGGTTTGGTGGAAAGAACAGTAGACTATGATTTCTCGTTTTGGCTGTGCCTTGACTCACTGTAAGAGATCAGACAAATCTCTTGACTCTCTGGACCCCAGATTCCTCATTTGTAAAATGAAGAGATAGAGTGAAATGATGTCTAAAGATCTTGTCCAACTCTCAGAGTCTATCAACTTCTTATTAAAATAGTTCAGTGAAATTCTGAAGTTGTGACTCACATTTTCCCAGCTGTAGGAAAGATGATGCTATATTTTTCCTGCTCACTCTGCCTCCCCTTTTCTTTCTTCCATTCTTCACACCCCTTCCCCTCTCCTCCAACTCCCTGTTTCCCCAGGAAGCAGAACCTCAGTTCAGGGATTATTTGCTGGTGCCTCCAAAGTGACAGTGACTCGTGCCTTCTTGAAATTCAGCATCTTTAGGAGACACGTTGTACATGCCACTTAAATCACAACTGTCTTTCTGCCTCTAGTTCCAGGTCTTTAAAGTTTCTAGTTTTTCAGGGCGCCTGGGTGGCACAGTTAAGTGGCTGCCTTTGGCCCAGGTCATGCAGGGTCCTGGGATTGAGCCCCACGTTGGGCTCCCTGCTGAGCAGGGAGCCTGCTTCTCCCTCTCCCTCTCCCTGCCGCTCCCCTTGCTTGTACTCTCTCTCTCTCTAATAAAAAATAAAAAATCTTAAAAAAAAAGTTTCTAGTTTTTCTTAGTTTTACTTTTCCAGTTCCACCAAAGACAGTATGGAACCCAAGAGCAAATGTGTTGAAAAGACTCAAACATCTTCTTTTTGCCTTTGCATTGAGCTTTCCACATTGCCCTTTTCTGGCAGCTGCTGAGACAAACTCTTAAGATCCTGGGAGAGCTGCAAGCAGGGATGTTAGACTGGGGGAGTCTGTTTTACTCAAGCCTTTGGTCAGGGCAGAAATAGTTCAGCCCGACAATTATCAGCCTAATGTGAAAATAGTAATAGCATACAACACACAAATCCAGTGCCTCCGTTGTTCCCGCTGCTTCTGATACTCACAGTTCAACGGCATTCCTGGGGAGGTCGGAGGGAATCTCTGTCACCTTGCTCTCTTGGCAGAGGAAAACCCTGTGAGAGCAGTGACAGATCCGATGATGACATCCTGAGCCTAAGCTCAGGAATGCCAGCAAGGTGACCAGGAGCAAGGCCATACTTATTCATCCATCCACCTGCTTTCTTCCTGCATCTGCAGAGAAGAATCTCCACAGATTTCAGAAGCTCCACACAGCGCCCTTATGAGAAGAGATCTGCCAGGGTCATGTGACCCAGCAGGGGATTTTTTTTTTTTTTTTTTGGTCGCTTCCAGACAAATAGCAAAATTCTTGCATGTCAGTAGTGATTTCCGGGGCAAGATAAGCTACTCTCTTATCCTTCTCTATTGGATTTCTTCCACCCTGACCCAAGGAAGACAGGAAATAGAACCTTGATGCATGTCTGGAATAGTTTACATTAATTATACCTTAGAAGTGTCCCTGCTGATCACTTCTCTCTTCAAGAAAGTGCTATGATTGACTTCCTCCAAAAGGACATGACCTACAGTGTGAAACATCAATAAGAGTGTCACTCGGTGAGGGGTGGAGACTCGTTTCCAGTCCTGGCATCAACATCTTCCTCCAGCCCACTTGGTATAAAACCAGAACTTCTGGATTGTAGTCATGAGTCCTCTTTCTTGCTGTAATTAATAACCAAAAATGATGTTGCTTAGAAGACAGATGGGTGGGCTAGTGAGTTCTAGGCAGATTTCCCCAGGGAGAAGGCACCTCTGAGAGGGTGTCCACAGAGATAATTGACTTACCTGAGTGATTTGAGGCACTGGCTGTGTTTTCACTGTGGATTTAGTGGACACTCTACCCTCTGTTGTGGATCCTTTCTGGCTTCTATCATTTTCAGGCTCAGAAGATTGCATTTGCCTTTGGGACACTGGCACGAATGAATTTATTCAATCTATGCTTTTAAGTTAATTTTAAATGGCCCCTTTAGGTGACTGTCCTGGTAGTTTGATTTGGCATTCTCAATCTTCTTGATGGTGCGGGATCTGGAAACATTTGGTAACACTTTCAGGAAAGTGGCCTTTTATTTCCCACTCCAGAATCTATGAAGATTAAAAGGCAGAATATTTTCCTAAGATACTGCCTCCAATTTATTACTTGCTAAAATTAGTTTCAACACTATCTTTAAATAATTAGTTGCATAAAATTGAGTTAGGTGAAATTACTAAATGTATGTACTTTTCCCTCTCCTCCCTCCTTCCCCCTACCTCACCAAAGAATAAAGACTTACAATGAAAGGATTAATTATCTTTAAGGGAAAACAGACGGAAGAGACTCTTAGGGTGAAACTATTCCCTAGCTTCCTCTGGGAGCTATTGATTCATTCTAATTCCAGTACTAGAAGATCAGGGCAGTATTTATATGGGCTCTCTATGGTTCCAGTTTTGGCTAACATGAATAGTTAAATTATTTCACTCAACAGTTGATCCACAGAATAATAATCTTTCAGATATGGAAGGGATTTAATGAAATCAGCCAACTAATGCTTGCAAGTTGACTCTCAAATATTCACAGTAATTTAAAGGGATTTACCTACCTATGCTTGACTAACTCCAGTGATTAAAAAAAAAACCCCAAAACTCATTACCAGTTGAAACTCCCACCCATACCTCTGCCCACAAATCCCCACTTAGAGTTGTAGAACTCCAATTGTTAAATTAGACCTTCTATAACGAGCACAAATCTTTTTAAAATTGAGATTTTGATTTTAAAACTACATCATATTCACAACTTACAGCACATAAATAAAATAAATGTAACTTATTAAGCAAAATAAATAGTTGTGGCCTGAAGAAATGGGACATAACCAATGCCACTGCATCTACTTAGTTGCTCCTTCCAATTTCCTCTGGTGTTCCTATGCCTAGAAGTGACCACTAATGTGATTTTTGTGCTTTAAAATTTTTAAAAATTTTATCACTAAACTGTGCATCTCCAAACAATACATTGCATGATTTTGCTTGTTTTCTGATTTTATACAAAACTTATCAGTCTTTAAGTAGTCTTTTGTTACTTGCTATTTTACACTAACTTTGTATTTTTTTATTTTCCTTTTTTAATTTATTTTTTAAAATTTAAACTCAGTTAATTAACATATAATGTATTATTAGTTTCAGAGGTAGAGTTCAGTGATTCATCAGTCTTATACCCGGTGCTCATTATATCACGTGCCCTCCTTAATGTCCATCACCGGTTACCCCATTCCTCCCCCAACCCCTTCTCCTTTGGCAACCCTCGTTTGTTTCCTATGATTAAGAATCTCTTACAGTTTGTCTCCTCTGATTTCGTCTTGTTTCATTTTTCCCTCCTTTCCCTATGATCCTCTGTTTTGTTCTAACTTGGCATTTTTAGGAACCACCCATTTATTTTATAGGTAGCTGTAGTTAATTTTCATTACTATATAATATTCCATTGTATAAATATGCTATAACTTATGTCTTCATTCTCATGTGATCTATCTTTATCCTGAGATCAGGAAAATATTCTGCTTTTTTTTTTTCCTAAAAATTTTATAGTTTTGCCCTGCACATTTAAGCCTTTAATCTGTTTGACAGTGGTAATTACGTGTAGTGTGAATCAGGAACTCAATTTCATTGTTATCCAGTGACTTAGAATTTTTATCCACATGAGTGAACAATTGTCTCAGAACCATTTATTGAATAGACCCTTTCCCCCCTCATCTGCAAAAATATTTTTCTCTTATCTCAGTAACTATTTTGCATGGGTTTTTGTTTAAGCTCTTTTATCATCCAGTGTCCTTTTTATCTGCCACCAGAGCTGTACTTAATTACTTGAAACTTAAGTCTTGATAAGTCTTGATATATGATATATTATAAGAAAATACCTTTCTCTTATTTTTTATAGTAGTATCTTGCCTATTTTGGACCTTGGTTATTCCATATGAATTTTAGAATCAGCTTTTAAACTTGAAAAAACTTTGATAGAGTTTTGTTTGGAATTACATTGATTGTATAGATTAATTTTGAGAAAAAAAATGTTACCTTGAAGATACTATGTCTTCCTATTCCTAATTGTGGTATATCATCATCTTTCTAGGGCCTTCATTAATGTCTCTCAATAAAGTTTGATACTTTCTCTATAAAGGTCTTAATATCTTAAATTTATTTCTAGATAACATTTACATTTTTTTGCTATTGTAAATATCAATATTTAAAATAACACTTTATGTTGGTTATCACATGGTAAAAATGCAATTGATTTTAGGATATTTACCTTATAAAATTTATCTTATACATAATTGCCTTACTGCATTTCTATATAGAATATCATTCATATCTAAACAATCACATGTATGTAATATGTATATTATGTATGTAATATGTACATATGAGTCTGTTTCTTCTTAAGTCCTTCCTTCCTTCCTCCCTGTTTTTCTTTCTCTCTCTCCTTCCCTCCCCTTTCTTCTCCCTCCTTCCTTCTCTGTTCCTTTTCCTCTCCATCTCTCTTTTTTTTCTTTCCTTCTTTTTCTTTTCTGGTTAGGATACCGAGGGCAATGATGATTAGAAGTTTATGGTGAGCATTATTGTCATGTTCCTGCTTTTAAAGAAAATATTTTCTTATTTTTCACTACTCAGATAATTTTTGTTATAGACTTTTGGTGCATACCAGGATAGATATCATGTTAAAGATCTTAGAAAAGTTTTCTAAGAGTTTCTTTCTTAGTATTAATGGAGATCAGTATTGTTGAATGCCTTTCTCTCCATTTGTTTCCCCTCCCAATGTATTAATTTGTTGACATGATAATTTTATACTTAAACTACTCATATTCTTAGGAATAACAAACTTGGTTATGATTAATTGTCATTTTATACACTGATTTGATTACCCAATGTTTCATTTAGGATTTTGGCATCTATGCTTATAAGTAATCCATAATTTAGTAATGAGTAATTTTTAGTGAGAAATGTTATTTCTAACTTATGTTGTCCCTATGTGGTTTGCTATCAAGGATGTATTTGTCTCATAGACTGAGTTGCAAAATGATCTGTTATTTTGTTCTTAGGAAAAAACTGTTACAGATTGGAATAATCTATTCCTTCAATGTATAGCTTTACCTGTTTGTAAGACCATCTAAGCCTGGTTTTATATTGTGTGTGTGTGTGTGTGTGTGTATTAAATATAGGAATTCAATTTTTAAAAATTGTTATTGGACTATTTGGGCTTCCTATTTTTCTTAAACTTTTTGTTATAATTTTTTTAAAGAAATTTGCTATTTAATTTGTTTTAAAATTTATTGTCATAAAGATTTTTAGGATTTTCTCTGAAATATTTTTAAAACAATTTTATTTCTGTCCATTTAATTTTATTGAAGTACAATTGACACATAATGTTACATTAGTTTCAGGTACAACATGATTCAACAACTGTTATTCTATGCTCACCATAGCTGTAGCTACCATCTTTTACCATACAATGCTATTATAATACCATTGACTATATTCCCTTTTTTGTACCTTTCATCCTTCATAATTATACATTCTATAACTAGAAGCCTGTACCTCCCACTTACCTTCACCCATTTTTGCCATTCTCCCACCCCCTCGCCTCTGTTAGCCATCAGCTTGTTCTCTTTATTTGTGGGTCTGTTAACATTTTTTGTTTGTTCATTTGTTTTTTTTTAGATTCCACACATGAGTGAACTCAGAGGGTATTTGTCTTTCTCTGACTTATTTCACTTAGTATAATACCCTCTAGATCCATCCATGTTGTCACAAATGGCAGGATCTCATTCTTTTTTATGGCTGATTAATCTCGATTACACATATATACCACATTTCTTTATCATCTATTGATGGACATTTGGATGGCTTCCATATATTAGCTATTGTAAATAATGCTAAAATAAACAGGGTACATATGTCTTTTTTTTAAGATTTTATTTATTTATTTGACGGAGAGAGAGAGAGCACACAAGCAGGGGGAGCAGTAGAGGGAGAGGGAGAAGCAGGCTCCCCGCTGAGCAGGGAGCCCCATGTGGGGCTTGATCCCAGGACCCTGGGATCATGATCTGAGCTGAAGGCAGACTCTTAACCATCTGTGCCACCCAGGCACCCCTATCTTTTTTTAATTAGTGCTTTTGATTTCTTTGGAAAAATGCCTGGTAATAGAAATATAGGATGGTATATTATTTCTATTTTAATTTTTTGAGGAATCTC